GGGGGGGTGGCGCGGTGCGGAGGCAGGGGTCACCTCAACCAGTCCTCTGGGTCTCTGCGCGCTCAGGAGCCCCCTTCCCACCTTTCTTTCTACCTGTGCCCCTGGCCCTGCCCGAGTGACAACCAGGGAGTCGGGGTAGTGGGCGCTCACACGCAGACGCCCAGTCACCCCCCCACCCGCAGTCGGTGCATTTCTGGTTTTGGGCTGTCTGAGTCGCCACCCTGCAGGTCCCGTCTCCCTCAGCCGTGGGAAGGAGCCCCGCCGGGTGGCAGAGCTCCAGTGTCGCATGATAGGCTAGGATCCAGAGCCCGGGACAATCCCCACCTACGCCCCAGGCGGGCTGTCCCACGCTTGGAGCCCGCCCCAGAGGTGACAGACTTCCCTTTCCCTGGGCTGCTGTGGGCTTTGCAGTCCTCACAAGCAGAGGATCGTTCCTGAGCTGACAGGAAGCAGAGCGTAGGGTCTGAGCCTTTTCAGGACCCATTTTCTGCCCCTGAGATCCTTCCGGGGAAACCACCCTCCCCACACCGAGCCCTTGAGACTGTCTCTTTGGGTGGGATGGTGTAAGGAAGGGTCCCCTCTTGCAGTGGTGGACCCGAGAAAGTCTGAATTCCCCTAGCTCCCCAGGGCTCATTGTTGAATGACTTAGCATTCATTTTTATTTGCCAATGTCAAGTAGTTGTAATTAACAAAAGTGTTTCTAGAGATAACACATGGGTAGGGTGTAAATTTCCACAGATAGCAGTGGAGAGAAATTGTAGTTATTGGCAGAACTGTCAAAGGTGGTCAGAGGGGTGCCTCAGTGGCTCAGGTAGTTGTCTGACTTGGGCTCAGGTCATGATCTCGCAGTTCAGGGAGTTCAGTTCTTCCCCACCCCCCTCAAGCTCTCTCCTGACTGCTCAGAGCCTGGAGCTTGCAGCCCGCTTCCGATTCTGTGTCTCCTTCTGTGTCTGGCCCTCCCTGGTTCGTGCTCTATCTCTCAAAAATAAATAAACATTAAAAAAAAAAAAAAAAGGTGGTTGGGGTCCCCGGATTAGATGGTAGTGATCTATCCCTGTTAATTTCTTGATTTTCACCTTTGCCTTAAAGTGGACAATCAGGAGAATGTTCTTGTTTGTGGAAAATACACAATAGAGTGTTTGAAGGTGATCAGGAAACATGTTGTCGACATACTCTGGAATGGGTGGTAGGAAAAAAAATTATTTTAATTCTGTATGCCAGACAGAAAAGAGTCTACTCCATTTTTTTTTTAAGTTTATTATTTATTTTGAGAGAGACAGAGAGAGACAGAAACAGAGAGGGCATGAGTGGGGGAGGAGAGAGAGAGGGGAAGAATCCCAAGCAGGATCCTGGCTGTCAGCATGGAGCCCCAGATGGGGGGGGGGGGGGGGGGGGCGGGAACTCCCAAACCCTGAGATCTTGACCTGAACTGAGATCAAGAGTTGGAGGCTTGGGGCACCTGGGTGGCTCGGTTGGTTGAGTGTTCAACTTCGGCTCAGGTCATGATCTCAGAGTCCTTGAGTTCAAGCCCAGCGTCAGGCACAGCTCAGAGCCTGGAGCCTGCTTCTGATTCTGTGTCTCCCTCTCTCTGCTCCTCCCCTGCTC